CGTTTAAGGTGATGAAGGACTGGTAGAAGTAGAATTTTCCCACAAATCATATGAGTTGGACTGACGTTTCAATTTAATATTTACATAACTTTGCATTCCCAAAAGTTGTTCCTATCTCGGCTGAAGTGGACTGCAGTTTCGACCTCGCATTGGTCTTATCAACACCCTCAGCGGGACTCGAACAATACTTAATTCGAAAAATAAAGTATATTAGTCGATTTTTATAGCAATCGACAATTCCACAAAAAACCTATGATATGTCAAAAAGGCCTGGCTTTTCTTGAAAATTCACATTTGCCTTGTGACCCAAAAGGCGCTCGTGGCAGTGCAGCCGAGTGGTTGGCGTGTCGAGCTACCGTCCTGCACTGTCGCGGTTCGAGTCCCGCTGAGGGTGTTGACAAGACCGATGCCAGGTCGAAGCTGCAGTCCACTCCAGCCGAGATGAGAACAATTTTTGGGAATGCGAAGCTATGTAAATATTCAATGGAATCGTCAGTCCAACTCATATCATTTGTGGTAAAATTCTACTTCTACCAGTCCTTCATCACCTTGAACGAAATTGGATGAATATATCTTATAAACTGCAAGTAATTCGCATAGAAATTGAACACATTTTACGCGCCCTCCTTGGACATCGCTTCCCCGGCCAATCGCTATTGTTCACCGGCAAAACTGCCAGGTCGACTACTGGAGAGACATTGTCCGGGCCCACATTTGGTACCGCCGATGGGGTGTGATTTTGCAATCGGCAAACCAGAAGATGCTTCGTCGCATCTCTCGTTGCTGCGATAGAGACAAAGCAGGCGACAGTGCAAAAAGCATTCATCCTTCAAGCCTAGCCCCGGAAAGTGAGTGTGAGCAGAACAGAAAATTGGGCCAAACAAGTCTGTAAATGGGCGGGAGGGAAAGGGTGAAGGAGAAAGTTGGTGCGAGAAAGACGTCTCCTGTGATCGAGGGCCAGTCAGCTTCCTCGACGCATTCGGAGAGATTGACACTTGCGTCTCAGAGGTGCACATGTCTCAACATACAGGCCTGCAACAAATTCTCGACATCAACATGTAATTGTCCAGAAAAGAAACTCCTGGAAATTATTGAGCTTACTTCCCTTTCGAGTGAAAGTGTTGCGTGA